TTTTTTTTTTTAAATTTATTTAACTAAATAACTAACTATGATAATGTATTTGTACAATAACAAATTTTTAACTGGCATCATTTTTGACACAAAATTATTCAATTATTTATATCAAAAAAAGTACATTATAATAACTAACAAGAAAGATATCGATTAAGGTCTCTATCTTAAGAAGCGCCAATCAATCAATCAATGGAGCCCATCCATGCATGTATAAAATTACAGTCGCAGAACAGTAAAAAAAAAGGAGACGAAAAAGATATTATAACAAACAATAATTAATTAAGCGCTTCTTATAATGGTAGACGACCTTCGACCTTTCCAAACAATCTAATACAAACACACACACTTGCACACGCACAAATACGCTAACTACCAACCAAAACACTGCAGAAAATCAATTACTCGAATTCTTTTAGCGGCCCTTTTTCGACAGGAACAAAATAGTTAAAGCACTTCCGCGAAAGGGCCGAAAAAAGCGCGGAAAGGAGGAGCGTCCATTGTAAGCTACGATCATATTACGGAAAAAACAACGAGATCGTTCAATCTTACAATGTCGCTCGCCAATTTGATAACGCTCGTTTTTTTACGCTCGGTAACGATATTAGCAACAGTCTCTCTCTCAGATATTCGGGGGGCGCGCACCAATAGCCTAAAGATGTTTAGTTCTTCTCTTCCTTCTTAGCTTTTTCGTCGGCTTGTTGCTGTTCTGATGAACTGCTACTGCTAGAACTTCCGCCGCTGCTTTCTCGTTCTGCAGCCATCTAAAAAAAATGAATAATTTAAAATACACGCATTCGGAGGTTTTTGCCTCATTCATCGAAAAATTACAAAATTAAAACTTGTAATTACAGAGAAAAGCCAAAAATGATTAATACCTACACAATGTTCTAAGCTATTCATTTAAGGAAAATATTGAATCTAAAATCTCTTGTTTAATTAATTTATAAAACTATAATACGTCGCATGAATTTCACAAGGTTCTAATTATACTTTTGGATAAAATTTAGATTTTTGCAAATAACTTCTTTTTATTTAAGCTGTTTCTTTTTTAATTTCAAATTACCAATATCTATTCTGTTTCGTTTAATGAAAAATGTTAACTATAAACTCACCTTTTTGTAGGCCATTTCAAACAATTTCAACGAATTTTGTTGTAATGTGCCAGTCGTTTTGCGTATTTCTTCGGGGTCAACGTTGTCCTTGTTCGTTAACAATTCCTTAACTTTAGCTATCTCTTCTCGAAGTTTATCGCACTGTAACAAAAATAACATCAAATTATTGGGTACAAAATGTTAATTTGTTAAACAGTTAATGCATTACAAACTAACTTAATTTGCAGATACTACTATCACTTTTATAAAAAAATAATGAAAAATTCAATGATTACAACTTTTTTTTTAATAGTCAAAATAATTTACCTCCTCTTTGGGCAATTGATCTTTGAACTCTTCCATTTTACTTTCTGTATCATGTACAATTCCTTCAGCTTGGTTAACGGCTTCCACACGTTCCTTCTTAATTTTGTCTTGTTGTGCATACTGTTCAGCATTCTTCACCATGTTCTCGATCTCATCTTTGCTTAAACCACCGGATGACTGAATAACGACTGAAAAGAAACTTATAATGTACAATGTTCTCAAATAAAAACAGAACAAACAATCAAACTCAAGCAATGTCATTGTTGAAGAGTTTTTGGTAATAAAGAATTTCGTAAAACTTTACAGTGTACATTGTTCACTCACTTTGTTGTTCTTTTCCAGTTCCCTTGTCCCTGGCGCTTACATGTACTATACCATTAGCATCAATATCGAACGTTACTTCGATTTGTGGAACTCCCCGGGGTGCAGGTGGGATTCCAATTAACGTGAACTGTCCCAGTAGTTTGTTATCAGATGCCATCTCACGTTCACCCTGGTGTACTTTAATTTCCACCTGAGTCTGACCATCAGCTGCCGTAGAAAATACCTGACTTTTCTTGGTGGGAATTGTTGTGTTACGGTTGATAAGGCGCGTGAACACGCCGCCCAACGTTTCAATACCAAGTGAAAGAGGAGTAACGTCAAGCAAAAGTACGTCGGTGACATCCCCGGCCAAAACACCCCCTTGGACGGCCGCACCGATGGCTACAGCTTCGTCAGGATTTACTGAGCGACTCGGCTGCTTGCCGAAAATTTCTTGGACAGTATTTTGCACCTTAGGCATTCGAGTCATACCTAATCAAACAAATTTACTTGTAATTCTCTTAACTTTGAAGTTAATTCAACTAAAAAGGCAAGACAATTCAAAAAACACTAAGAATATGTCAGTTCACAAGAAAAAGTCACAATACCAGAGAAACAAAGCTGACTTTCAATCAAAATAAATTCTGACATGGTATTTCGTTAATAAATATTAAGTATAAGACTTATAAATTCCCCTCCTCCCCTTCCAGAAGCTCTCTTATCTTGTCAACTTACCTCCGACCAAGATAACATCCCCAATATCAGATTTGGATACCTCAGCGTCTTTGAGCGCCTTCTGACACGGCTGCACAGTTTTCTTAATCAATTCGCCAACTAAACTTTCGAATTTGGATCGTGTCAGTTTCAGATTCATGTGTTTCGGACCGGCTGAGTCCATCGTCAAATAGGGTAAATTAATATCAGTTTGGAGGGATGATGATAGTTCGATTTTAGCCTTCTCGGCTGCCTCCTTTAGACGCTGCATTGCCATAGGGTCTTTAGTAACGTCGATTCCTTGGTCACGTTTGAATTCTGCCACAAGATAATTGACCAGGACATTATCAAAGTCTTCACCGCCAAGGAATGTATCTCCATTGGTTGATTTTACTTCGAATACGCCCTTCTGGATCTCGAGGATTGATATATCAAATGTACCGCCACCCAAGTCGTACACAGCGATTCTGGACGGAAAAAGAAAAGGTAAGAATACATACTATTAAAAAATACTAATTAATAAACTACCCCCAAACTACACAATTCATGGAAAATATTAACTTTAATTTGATAATCTAATTACACTTTTTGGGTCATATTCTATGTGTTAAACAGTTAAACAATAAACAGATAATGTGAAGCAATTCTTGTTTATTGGAGCATATTTTGCTGATAATACGCATTTAAATTTGCTGTTAACGGTCTTATCCTCTTTATTCATACACTACATATTTTTTTATTTATTTATGATATACAAACAGACAAATATATAGTTATTATTTTTAAACCATTTTAAAGTTTATAATCGATTAAAAAGGGGCATCATTCACTTAAATGCAACAGTACTAGAACTAAAGACAACTTTAAGGGATAATTAGACAAATTATCATAGGAGCAATAAGGGCAACACAAAGAAATTTTCTGAATTACTTACATTTTATCTTCAGCCCTGTCCATTCCATATGCCAGTGCAGCTGCAGTGGGCTCATTGATGACCCTAAGAACATTCAACCCCGAAATTTGTCCAGCATCCTTTGTTGCTTGTCTTTGAGAGTCATTGAAATATGCAGGAACGGTAACAACAGCATTCTTCACTTTAGTATTTAAATATGCCTCGGCAGTTTCTTTCATTTTGATCAGAATAAATGCACCAATTTGACTTGGTGAATACATTTTGCCATCAGAACCCTGAACCCAAGCATCTCCATTTGATGCTTTCACGATCTTATAAGAAACGGTTTTCCTAATAATATACAATAAAAATGAAATTAACATTGTAATCAGCAACAAAGTCAATACATTGTTTTCAAATTAATTTGTTATTTTTTGAATGGACTTGTTATATCTTCTATAAACATAATATAAAATTTCATATATAAATTAATAAACAATTCCTCTTTAGATACTATTACATTAGCAATGTAAAAAGCAGCATACATATTTCTAAAAACAATATAACTATAATATGGATGTACTTTAAAACCATATTTTAAATATAATTTACATAATACATGGTACATTTTTCCAAAGTTGAACAAAACTGTATTTTTAGTGTAAACACCAATACAATTCAATATTAATTATTATTTGAACCCTTTTGGTGTTTTACAACAACTGCTAGTAAAAGAAATATTCAGTAATTCAACAAATTTGCCATATTTACTTGGCATTGACGCAATATGACATTTTACTTACATATCCTTCTGTACTTCGGGATCTTCATATCGTCTTCCAATAAGACGTTTTGTGGCGTAGAATGTGTTTGCAGAATTGGTAACTGCCTGTCTCTTGGCAGGCATTCCCACAAGTCGTTCTCCATCTTTGCTAAATGCAACAACTGATGGAGTCGTTCGAGAACCTTCAGAGTTTTCAATTACTTTAGCTTGTTTCCCTTCCATAACTGCAACGCAGGAATTTGTCGTTCCCAAATCAATACCAATAACGGCGCCTTTGACGCCTTCAGATCTACGATTTTTTAATTAATAAATTATGTTACCAAAAATACAAAATCGATCGATTAACTTACTTATTACGGACTGAAGCTCCATATCGTAAGCTTAAATTACTAAGTGTGTTCTGAAAGGCAAAATAAAATTATAAATTGAACTGTTTGAATAATAATAATTGGAATGTAGAATAATCGGGAAAGGTAAAGTTCCGGTAAATCTTAACCAAACATTCGTAAATATAAGAAAATGATCGGTAACAAATTATAAATTATAAATATTTAATGTGAGAATTTTTAAGAAAAAAGGCATGCTTTAATTATTACGCAATATCAGTATACAGAAACCGGAAAAATTGCCGATATTCTGAAATGACAGTAACTTACATTTTTATAAAACTGGGAAAAATTCCTCTTGACTGAAATGTCTGAAGCCAAATTTGTGATGTCTGGAAGTTTGCGGCTTAGTATTCTAGCAGCGGATAACATTTTTACTTGAAATGTTGAAAATTTCTACGTTAAACTCCTTCACGTGCAAAAGCACGAACAAATGGTGAACTTTTTATCCACAACTTTCGACAGAAACATAAAATACACTACTCAATACCACCACACGTGTTAGCAAAAGGAAGCAAAGTTACTAAAATTGCATGTCAGCCAACATTAGCATGGTGACCAATGATAGAATCATAATTAAGCGCTTAATTTAAAAAACTTCTAGAACATTCAAGAAATTTCAAATCAAATTTTATCATGCAGGGGTTGATTAAATATAAAATAGAAAAAAAAAACAACGACAACAAACGTTTTACCAAACAACAAAAAATGTTTTTAACTTCAAATAATGCACTTTTAGATGTAAATAAAATATGATCTCATTTCCGTAAATAGATGTAGTACTACTATTAATTTTTAAAGACCTTCAAAATACGTTTCAATTAGTTTACTTGAGAAAGCTGTATAAAATATTCAGTGCCACCTTTTATTGATCATTAGGTTGCGATAAAATTATCATGTGACGAAATGATTATACATAGTATTAGTTTTCTGTAGATGAACAGCAATAATTTCGAGCACTGGAAAGTGAAAAAGTGTAAAACATTTAGCAACATAAAATGGGTAATTCTCCAAGTTCTGAGTGGTTAAATAAATTTAAAGAGATAAAAACTAACCATGATAAAGCATTTTATATTATTGATGAAGGACTTACGTTAGATGAGAATTCAAACGTAATACAGGTATGGGTATATGTACACCTTTTCCCAAATGAGAAGTTATATTTACACAATGTTCCAAAAGAGTCTGCGTATTTTTCTTATTAAACATTGAAAGATTCTTTATTACTTATTCGATTATTATTTAAGAATTTAAATTTTTAGGCAGTAGAAAAATATAAAGAAGGTTTAAATTTAATTGATGATGCGCTAAATGTGAATGTATCAATGCCAGAAACAGCCGATTATTATTGGGAAGAAGCTCTTCGAATGATTCAAAAAATGAAAAAAACCCGAAAGGAAATACACGATAGAATACAAAGTATCCAAGGCATTTATTTAACTTATAACGAAGATAACAGCGATAATTTACGTATAACTCAAAAAAGTGTTTTATATTATTATGCCGAATTGTCGAAAATGATTTTGGATTTTTGTGTGAAATTGGAAGATTACGATTCTGATATTATTTACACGTATTTACAAATCAAATTATTTTTTGTTTCTTCAAATGGAATAGTTAAACAAGCATCTAAATATCAGAAATTGGTCATCGCATTTATGAAAGGTTAGTTACTTCGTAATTCAATAACTTCTTGTATTATACGCTTTATCCTTATTACGTGGGTGAATTTTCGACTGTTTTTAGAATTTATATTCATATGTATACGACAATCTTTAAATTTTCCAACGTTTCAGCACCTGTTGTGCACCTTCTTCAGAGAGGTATCAATAAAACTCGTTACTTTTTTGTGCTTCTGACTCCATGTTGAAATTGTCAAAATTTAATTATTATACTCATAACTCGGCTATGATAACAATATTTTTGTTTGTTTTTTTAAATCATGATTTCAATTTCAAAAATTGATAAAATGCATATGCACAGCGTGCACTGTATTGAGATATAAGTCAAAAACACAAAGATCTACTGTATTGTTAATTATCTCTGAAGAAGGCCCACAGTCAGGTGTCATGAATCGTTAGCAAATATAAAGATAGCAGTACAAAATAATTCTGGAATCATCGATTCCATATGAAAAAGATTTCATAAGTATCTTTTTGATAACAAGTGCATATTTTGCGAATATTGTGTATACAGTATGCGTTCCATAAGTAATGCTACCATTCCAGGACTAGAAGGAATTTTAAAAAGCCTTTTCTAGGATGTGTGTTGTCGCATCTGGAAAAAATGGTCACATTACATATGAAAATTGACCGCACCCTGTATATTGTCGTGAGTGGTATTAAGTCGAAGGTAGAGGTAGTTCAGAATTTCATGAACTTTGTGAACCTCGTCAATTCTTGATTTCTACATTTCTAGCTTTTAAAACAAAATTGGTTGTAACTGTTTGAAGTTTATCTTGGGCTCCATCCTTGCTTGTGCAGTGGGACACAAGGTTAACAACCGAGTTAATAATTTAGTAGTGCAATAAGATTAATTCGATAACTTCTGCTTCTCGCATATCTGAAGATTCATGTCATTCTAAATTACCTTTACATAAATGTACAAAACAAATCGTGACAATGCCCGCATGACCAAAAGTACAGGGATAATTTCAGTAAAATCATTAAAATATTTTTTTATTATATAGATAACGAGGATCAAAACAAATCACAATATTTTATTCAAATAGGAGCTTACATTTATCCACTTTTTGATGGAATTTGTCCATGTTATAGAACTAATTATGGTGTCTCTATTTTGCCTGATGTTAATGCAGAAAATCAAGGTAGGTATATATTATATATATATTACACCTAATTCATTATTATACATATATTTTATGTAATTACTACATAAAACTTTTTTAAATGTCAAACCTTTTAAAATGTATCAGGAACACCATGTATTGGATTTACCTTGGAAGATTCTTCGGATACAACTGGTTTTGAATTATTCGAAAATGTGTTCCAGACACTGACCAACTCAGAAACGGAAAATAATACAAGGAAAATAAACGAAATGGGTAAAACTGAATAGTTTTTATATTTATGTCGTTTTATTTAATTCCTGAGACTAAAATAGCATTATCACGCCGCTGGTGTAATGATCCATCGCTGACGCTTATTTTACGATGAGGCAGAAGTAGAAACACCTTTCTTTTCACGCCCATTTACAATTAGATTGTTTTTTTTTCTAGCGTCTACTCCAGAGTTTCAAACAATTTATAAAAACTTGGAAACTTATGGGAATATATTAGATAGAAGTTTAATGGAAGAAAAAATTGAAATTGTTGAACTTCAGTAAGATTTATTAACCTAGGATTTTTGAAAAAACTCTAATTTTTAAAATTGTTTTTTTTTTCAGGTCAAATGATTTGGCGAATGCTTTTTTTAGCACCGACGAAAATATTTTTGGCACATTATATCAATTAGTTTATATAACTCCTGAAGAAATGATTTTAGAACACTCCCAAGATACTAATGACAATGAAAAGAAATCGAACAAAGACCCCAATCAAAACAACACTAATAAATGTTACCCCAATTTATCTGATGAGGAGCACTAAAAATAAAAGAACAACAAAAAATTGTTGTTAATAGATTTTGTTAATATTTAATGTGTTTTAAAGGCATTTTATACGGCTGTGATCATATGTGATGTTCAATGTTGTTTTTGTATTATATAAAATTTTATAAACTTGTTAACTTATGGTTACCTTTTAATTAATTTTAACCTGCTTAATCTACAATTCATTACAGTCTGTTTATATAAAAGTGTTTATTTGTTGTTGTTTATGCGCTATAAATAGGTACGTTTGAAAATTTTAAATCTTTTACGTATTATGTATTTTGTAACTATAATTTGGAAATTTTAAAATCATGATTGCCTAGATATCTTGCTGTAACAAACGTACCTAGGTTACAAAAATTTAACTTTCTTTTTAAAATGTTAATCCTCCTCCGTTAATTTTTCAATTAAGTTTGAAGCAATTTATAGTTACGTAAGGTGCTTTTTAATAAATTTGGACCTCCCTACCTCATGGAAAAGTTTTGCGGAACTCCTTCTTTGATCTATCGTAATTAATGGATATTCGTATATGTATATTGGTACTGACCTATTTTTGTATAAAAAGGCAAAATTAAACGTTATTAAACATTTTGTAGAAGTATATGGCTGTAGGATTTTCTCTATTTACACAAGGTGAAACGAATTGTTTGACTCAAGACTGGAAAAATAACGATCAGTTGTTGCCGTTTTCTATTAATTGTGCGTTAATTTAATCTAGGTAGATGAATTGAATGTATCTAAACCAGTCAACCTAGACCTTAATATTTCTTTACTCTATGTTCTTTAACATTCTCTATAATCAATAGTATGAAAATTATCTATGGTATGAAATTTAAAAGAAATTTAATCAGTCTTTAATCTATGACATAACCTAACTACCTGATATAACCTCTTGAAATTTAATGGCATTTTTAATTGTAAAGTCCCAAAGAACCAAAGTATTACCGAAGTGTAGTGCCAGTATAAGCTATATCAATATACAGTTTAGTAATGTGTTTTATGCGTTATTGTTTAAAAAAGTTGATTGTTTAATTTGACGTTGAATTGAGATGGATAATGACTCCAAAATTGAAGCTATTCGCTTAGTTCAAGCCATTGAAAAGCATCCGGTTTTATATGATAACAATGTTCAGAAATATAGCGGCCGAATTGGACAAAAAGATGCATGGAATAAAGTCGCTTTAGAGACAAAAAATACTCGTACGCATTTTAATTTTTTTAAAAACATAATATTGGTTTAATTGTTTACCTTTTTAGCTTCAACCTGTAAGGAGAAATGGCAGGGTATACGTTCAACACTTGTGCGCTATTTGAAAAGCAATTCAAAGAAAAATTTTTATTTACTTGAACATTTGCAATTTTTAATTCCTTTTATAAAGTTTAGGTAATATGGATTTTTTTTTCTAAATGTTCCATTCCTTATAGGTTATTTGTTTACAGGTCTAATGAGGGATACACTTACTTTATGAATGAGTCTTCACCTGAGGTAAATTCCACACAGTTAAATTCTGATTTGCTTTCAAGTACAAATGTGAATTATCCTAAAGAAATGGAGTTTGGCGAAAGTGATAGTGAAAAGAGTAATCAACAAAAAACAGTATCGTCAAAACCAAAAAGGAAACATCAAGATCTTTCTATTTTTGATGATGAAGAAGATGATTCTGACGTTTTGTTCTTCAAGAGCGTCTGGGCTGATGTCAAAAAGATGAACAGGAATCAAAAGTTGCAGTTCAGAATTAGTGTCTTAAATTCAATGGAAAAAATTCTATGCTATTCAGAACCAAGTAGTTCAAGTCATAAACGTAAGAATTTTCCATAATAATTGTTTTATCCTTATATTCTAAGTTATATACGTAAAATATACTTTACTTTTTTGTATTACATTCGTAATATTCATAAATAAATGTTTTATTTATATATGTTATTGTTTTGCAATTGAGTGTGTCTACATTTGTGTTCGTAAATGTCTGCCAGTGCAAATGTATTACTTATAGTTTTTTGAATAGTTATACTTTTGAATTATAATATCAATGTACCGAGCACGTTGTTTTATACGTTTCGCTCGTTTGACTGCCCTTGGTTGTTTTTTCGTCAACTTGCGTTATTAGCTTGATCTCCTCGGAAAGTTTTTTTATTTTAATGGAATAATATACAGTCTAT